GATCCACACAATCAAAGGCTTTAGCATAGTCAATGAAGCAGAAGTAGATGTTTTTCTGGAACTCCCTAGCTTTCTCCATGATCCAGCGCATGTTGGCAATTTGATCTCTGCTGGAGCCTAGCTTGTAGAATTTTGAGCATAACTTTGCTAGCATGTGAAATGAGTGCAATGGTGCGGTAGTTTGAACATTCTTTGCATTGCTCTTCTTTGGGATGGGAATGTAAACTGACCTTTTCCAATCCTGTGGCCACTGTTGAGTTTTCCAAATTTGCTGGCATATTGAGTGTAGCACTTTTACTGCATCAACTTTTAAGATTTTGAATAGCTCATCTGGAATACTGTCACCTCCACTAGCTTTGTTGTGGCTCAGACTTCCTAAGGCCCATTTGACTTCACATTCCAGGATGCCTGGCTCAAGGTCAGTGGCCACCCCATCGTGGTTATCAGGGACGTTAAGCTCTTTCTTATATAGATCTTGCCATCTCTTCTTAATCTCTTCTGCCTCTGTTACGTCCTTGCCATTTTGATCCTTTATCATGCCCATCTTTGCATGAAACGTTATCTTCATATCTCCAGTTTTCTTGAAGAGATCTCTGGTGCTCCCTATTCTATTGTTTTCTTCTATTTCTTTGCACTGTTCATTTAAGAAGACATTCTAGCTATTCTCTGGAATTCTGCATTCAGTTGGGTGTACCTTTCTCTTTCTTCCTTGCCTTTCGCTTCCCTTCTTTCCTCAGCTATTTGTAAAGCTTCCTCAGTCATTTTGCTTTCTTGCATTTCTTTTTCTTTGCAATGGTTTTAGTTGCTACCCCTACAATGTTTGCTACAATGTTGCAAACCTCTGTCCATAGTTCTTCAGGCACTCTATCAGATCTAATTCCATAAATCTATTTGTCACCTCTACTGTATATTCCTCAGGGATATGATTTAGGTCATACCTGAGTGGCCTAGTGCTTTTCCCTACTTTCTTCAATTTAAGCCTAAATGTTGCAACGAGAAGCTCGTCATGATCTGAGCCACAGTCAGCTCCTGGTCTAGTTTTTACTGACTGTATAGAGCTGCTCCATCTTTGGCTGCAGAGCACATAGTCAATCTGATTTCTGTGTTGACCATCTGGTGATGTCCATGTGTAGAGTCGTCTCTTGGATTGTTGGAAAAGAGTGTTTGCTATGACCATTGTATTCTCTTGACAAAATTCTACCAGCCTGTGCCCTACTTCATTTTGTACTCCAAGGCCAAACTTGCCTGTTATTCTGGTTATCTTTTGGCTTCCTACTTTAGCATTCCAGTCCCCCATGATGATAAGGACATCATTTTTTGGTGTTAATTCTAGAAGGTGTGGTAGGCCTTCATAGATGATAAAGCACAACAAAGCAGCTTTCCCAGCCCATTTGCGAAGCACCTGCAATACACGAAATAGTTAACCGTCATGTCCAACCTACTGGTCTCCAGGTAGATTGCAATTCCTAGCATCCCCCCATTAAAGGATGCTCCAACTCTATTGACTTATCAGTTGTTATGGGGATGTTATATTGCTTTTGTTTTGTTTTTACCTACTCATGGAGGCATGTGTAATCGAGTACTGGGCATCCCAGAAAGTATATAGTAAGAAAGCAACCCTATATGCATTTAAAGCAAAGCAAAACAAAACCCAAACCTTCCCAGCATTCTTCAGTCAGTATCGCAGGTGGTTTGCTCCTGGAAGCTTGGCTACTCAGAATAAAATCGTTTGCATGACTTTTTATGTGAATGTCCTCTAATGCTGGGCTCTGAAGAATTCTGAAATGTTTCCTATGAAGTGAAAGTTCTGCCAGAAGTAGCCAAAGATTCTGGGGTTCGGTCATTGCTCGCTTTTGCAATTTCACACCATTGCCCACCCTTCACATGTGTCAGTACTTGAAGTGAACAGATGTGACTACTCAGTTTCGGCAGAAGGTAGTACAGGAGAACAGGGCCACAATCTCCCCTCACACTTTCCTGGTGATGCGGCAAAGTCGAGTTTGTTGCGTTGGAATAATTTCTTTCCAACTTCAGTGGAGGAACTGAAAAGGATGACAGGCTGGCAAAGCCACCCTGATGCTTTTCAGATGTGTGTTTCACTTGGAACATAATCATGATACTAACAGAACAATCCTGTACAGGACTACTCATTGACTTCTTAGGTAAAACTGCTCAGGATTGCGACCTGTTTTGCACCCACCAAAGTAGGCTTTTCCAGTCTGGTGTCTTTCCAATGTGTTGCATTACAATTCCCAGCATCTTAGTGGGGAGTCCTGGGAGTTGCAGTCCAACACATCTGGAAGATCAGGCTGGGGAAAGGTGAACTAGATTATATACTTAAAACTGTCTATATCTATAGATTCCTGTTTGTACAAGAATCCAGGGAACACCTGCATCCATCCTTTTCATGATTGCAAAGAAGGCAGGACAGCTGCCCCTACCATTTTTATGACAAAGCTTTTCAAAGGTTGAAAAGGCTAGGAAGGAGGATTACCAGGCCGGTCAATATTTTACCCTCTTTTTTTTTACCCTTCACTATCCTTCCATTCATTTTTGTATGACAAAGGTGCAAACCTTTGCACAAAACCCTGGAGAGGGAAAGCCTAACAGAACTGTGCCTCTTCCCTAGTTATATGATTTGCCCCATTCATGAAGAAACAAAAGCACCAGATGTTCTGCTTATGTCCATTGATTCATTCCATGTTACTAGTGACTAGTTCTTAGTAGGCCTGTTCGTTTTTACTGGTGGCAGGTTTCCACAGGAAACAGTTGCATGGAATATGCCCACCTTGCGGTTATCTCTGGAAATAAGCAGTGCTCATAATACTTTTTCTGCTCCAAGAAAGGGTGACAAGCACCCTTTCTATACCTGTGCTAGCACCCTTTCTCTCCTATACCTGTGATAGCAACCCTTACTCCTTGGACTTTTAGTGCCTTAGGCAAATTAAAATTGAAATATTTGCTTTATGCCCTGCAAGAGCATAAAGCAAATATTTAAATGGTAGATTTAAATGCCTCTGAACATGCATTAAGTGACTTTCAACTGATGCAAATTTTGCTTTAATAGAATTCATTACTAGTCACATTCTTTGCAAGCACATTGAAGCATGTTAAATTACCTCCCAATTCTCCCCTTACTGCTATTAAAATACCCAAGTAGATGATTCCTGCCTTAACTGTTCCCATAGGAATTGACACACAGGCATTCATCCTCCGCAAAAGTGCCTTCTTTCCTTTCTTATCCACATCTCCTTGGTAAACTCACACACATGTTCAGGAAATGTGAATGTACCATGACAGCACCCAGATAAGTGATTGTGTGTTTTAAAGAAATGGGAAAACACTCAAACATGTAAACAG